CTGAGATGATCGGAGGAGTCATGTTCACTCGCGAGGAGTCTCCTAAGCAGTTTTCCTCGGATGTTCCGAAGCTGATCGTGCAGAGATGGTTCCCTAGGAAAACGCAGATCTGCATGATTGAGATGCTCGCTGCAGTCGTAGCTGTTCAGACTTTTCGGGAAGAGATCCGTGGAAAGTTAGTTTTGTTGTTCATCGACTCAGAGCCAGTCGAAGCAGCCTTGATCAAGGGCTATTCGGCTAAAGAGGATGTATGCGAGCTCGTGGGGATTTTCTGGGAACTCGTTCTCGAGTTAAGGTGCTCGGTCTACATCGATCGTGTTCCTACCGACTCGAATCCTGCCGACAATCCCTCTCGCGGTGACGTCCTGGGAGACCGTTTGACCTTAATTTAGGTGGCCGTAGGCCGCACGGCCAAAGGGCCGTGAAAAAAGACATTGGCCGTGAAAAACAAAAGGCCACGAAAACATGTGTGAATTCACGGGACGGAAGAAATTCACAAAAATTCACGGATTGTGAAATCCAGAGAGTGAAAAAAATCACTTATTTCACAGATAGTGAAATTTGTGGTGTGTGCGCCAAGGGTCTGTGAAGTTTCACTCTGTGCTTGGGGGCTGCTTCTGTGCAAAACTGTCTTTTTCACGTCCATAGCGTTTCACGCTCCCCACGGGGTTCGATATCTTACCCCGTATATATAAACGTACCAGGATTGCTGTGTGATTCGATTCTGGCTCAAAAGACAAAACTAAGACAAACTTTGGATTTCGGCTCGATCCGAGAAAAAGACAAAAGTAAGAAAGACGCTCAAAGCCTTAAGATGCCCACATATGCGTACATACATATATATATAGGGCATCTTCGGGCTTTGACCAAATAACTAGATATCTATATATGTGTATAGATAGATATATATATATAGATAGATAAACATATAGATCTTTCGATAGATGAATATATATCTAGATAGATACATATATACATAGTTCCATATACCGTGGCCATTGCTTTCGCGACCGATTGTTCAGCATTGCACATATGTGCAATCTTCTGCATGCATAGTGCTGTCGGTAATTTCAAATCTGATCGGCCGCCCGCAGGGCCAATGAGGCTCACGGCAGTACAGCCTGTTCGATCCATGGGAGACAGGCACGTACACTCTGTACGTGGTTACGGTTAGGAGAGTACTGTACATATACATATATATATATATACTGTGCCATATTCTATGTAGACTGCTGAACGTACATATATTAAATAGAACTTCTCTGGGGCTTAAGCCTTAAATAAATAAATCTAAAACAAAAATCGCAAGCCCGGAGCCCACACCACTCCTTACGCCCTAAACCCGAAACGAAGGCCTGGCGGATAGCCCATGGTACTATATGGATATATGGGTAGAGTATATAAGCTCATCTACGTACGTACACATAAATGCGAATATACCGGCTGTAGGTCTGACACTCTTGCGCAGAGCCAGTCTGCGATGCATCAGGTTTTACGGGTCTTATCTAGGCTTAACAATATTAGGGACGTAAGGATATAGATGATCTCCAACTCGTCGGTGTCAATGGCGCAGAACCTGCAGATGTGCAGACTGGAAGTGCCCTAGCGGCTCGGGGAGGGTTCATTAATAACAAAGGCTCTTAGTATAGTACCTTGTGAAATTAAGTTGGGGGGAGGCTTTCTGTGATGCTTTGCAAGCTACTCGGGCAGCGGCGCCTAATATGCAAGAAGTGTGGGCTACAATCGTGAGGGCAGGGGTTTAATTGTCGTCGGGCTTAGGATTTGGAGTTGCCGTGTAGTGCTATTTTCGGGTTTGGGAACTATATAGGACAACTTGTGGGCAATGAACATCGACTTAACTTTAACCTTTTCGGGCCTTGTACACCCAAACCTCAGGATCCCCTTCCGACAATCATGACAGTTTCTCCATAGTACTCCTTAGTCTGAACGATCGTTTATGTACCTAGGCCTGGCCTGAGTCAAGTGTCTTCGATTACGGTTACTCTCGAGCTCAAACCCGAATCTTTACAGAATTTTGGGTTCAAGCCCATAATCTAACGACAAATATCACAATCAGGCGCTAAAGCACTATAACATTTACCTTTCATGATCCCCGTGACCTCAAAGTACGCTCGGAGCTACTTTCAGGTTAGGGGAATGAAAGCATTCGCCATTGTGGGCAGGTACAAGATGTCGACGTTGATCGATTTGGCCACGCTACTTCCTTCAGGTGCTTCCCAGCCCTAGCTGTCGATCTGCAATGAATGCTGATATGTGCAGAGGTCGTTCATGCAGTTGCGGTGTGCATGATTTTGTTGCAAACAGTTTCGAAGGCGACCGTACTCAGCTCGGGCCCAGGGGTTAGTGTTGCTTTGCTTCGAGTGGGGCTCTACATATGCTGTGCATGGCAAAGCAAAGCCCTTACAACCTGTAATCCCATATCCAAATCCACTAGAGGACTGGTAGAGTTGGAGAATGTGGGAAGCCCGAAACCCTTGCACACTGCTGCTAGCTCTGTAAGCTGAAGATGACCTCGACACAAATGGTGGATGCCGTGGCTGCGGCCTTCGGCAAAGAGCCACGGCTGAAGGAGGCTCGACCAATCCTGCGTTTCCCAGGAAGCTTCGTTGATTAGCCGTAGATTTTTTAGCGGTAAGTCCGGTATGTACCGTATCTTGGAAACCAGCATGCCTACGTTCCACACATATGTACATATTCAGATATGCAAGTACATATCTGCACGATGTGTGCCAATTGCTCACAAACATACGCATACGTGTATGCATATGCACGCATACACACATATGCAGAAACATATGTATAAATACATACGTACACACTTACACACACATGCATGCACGAACACACATGCACAAATACATACATACATACATACATACATACATACATACATACGTACATGCACACATACATGCATACATACATACATACATACATACGTACACACACGGACGTACATGTACACATACACACACACATACATATATATATACACACACACACACATACTTTCCTACATACATACTTGCACACATACATGCATACGAGCAGTCATCCCACCAACCATTCAGCCACTCGTTCATGCAAGCATACACACGTGCATACACGCACAGATATGGACTCAGCTTAGATGGAGCTGGCCTGAGGCATGCACACACACCATACACATTATGCGCATACCCAAACCCGGCAGGTGGGGCTTGGCTTCTTGTGTGACCATTCGGGCAAGCTCTTCACGAAGAAACCGAGCCTGAAAGATGTGCGGTGCAATCAAGATGTACTTGGCTTGCATAGAAGTGTGTGCATAGAATCCATTTCAGATCTAAACATGTACGTTTGGGGACCCAATAATTCTGAGGCTGTCTTTGCAGTGGTCAAGGCCACAAATGGGGCGGCCCGCTTGAGTGCCTACATGCTTCGCGATGCCATCCTTCGGTTTTACACCATTAACAACTTGTTTCCGGCTGGGCTATGTGCAGAAGCTGAGTGTACAAAAACGTGGGCTCTGAAGCATGGCAATGCCTTGAAGAAGCTAGCGGCTCTGCTTATAGTATCGTGCCATTCGATCAGTGTGTTTTCAGGGAACACTTAAGAAGTGATGTGTGCTCGCTCAGGTTGGCCGCACCCGTCGCATATGCAAGAGGGCCAGGACTTCCCAGGACCGCAAGCTGAACCCTTTGAGGCGACGAATCGCTGGTTTGGGAATATCTAGCTTGGTCCCTTGTCATATACTTAAGTACTCAACACATGCAAAGCTTCAGTGATGATTGGTACCACTCGGATCACAATACTGCTAAATCTAAGGCACCCAAGGACTCCATGGACAAGAAAGATGACGATGATGAAGATGATGACTTCGGTTGTGTGCCTAGCGCTGCTCCAATGAGGGCTCCGATGCTTTCCTTCGAAACCTTGTCTATGGCTTCGGGGTCCAGTAGCGGCTCCTCTTCGGGCACTTTGTCCAGCTGCAGCAGCCTGTCGGGCCGTGATTCCGAATTGAGTCGTTTGGCTTCGCAATTGAAGGGGCTTCGCATAAGCAAAGAGGCCGCTCCGAGTGCCACGACGACTGCAAGCTTCCAGGATTATGCTTCCCGCCTTAAGGGCCTCAAGCCTTCGAAGCCAAGTGTGCAACTGCCCGGCAATAAACCCGAAAAGATCTTGCCTTCCGCAGCTTCTCAGCTGCAATATGCATGCTACACACATGAATTCTGAAGTACTGCTAGGTATGCAGAGAGCGATCAAGTGCATCTCAGGTTTTCGCTGACCTTGCTGCATTGCTGCCTGAAGCTCCCAAAGGCTTCCCCTTGAACAAGCAGTATGCGGGAGCCTTCGATGGTGATGACGCCGATGTTGGCGATGGCGAGCCGCCTGAGGTTGATGAGGCCAAGGTGAAGAAAACCAAAAAAGCCGGGTCCACAAAGGATGATGAGAATCCGAAGAGCGAGTCAGGTTCCAAAAAAACGGGGCCCACCAAGGATGATGAGAATCCGAAGAGCAAGGCAGGTTCCAAAAAAACGGGGCCCAACACGAAGACACCTTCAGCTTCCGAAGATGCACCACTTGACCCAGACTTCGAGCCTTACCTCCCGAACCTCTACAGTGAGAAGCGATTGGCTTTCATCGATGCTCATGCTGTGCAGTACGGTAAAAGGGAGGCGGCCAAGATGTGGAACACGTCGATTCAGAAGGCTAAGATGCTGGCGGGTCTGGGCTTACGGGAGCTTAAGAAGAGGAAGTTCGTGCCGAAGGACACTGCCGAAAATCCGTTTGTCAAGGTCGTCAAGCAGGCAAAGCTTGCAGCAGCGGGTGGGGCATGATTTTCCGCGAAACATACCATGGCCTGGCTGCTGTATTGGTTATCATGTAAATGCCTCCTATATAGCCAGCTAGCACAGGATCACACAGCTTGTTGTTGTCATGGTTGTTTCGACTACAGGCCTGGGCTGCAATGGGTCCTAATTGGCTGTGCCTTAATTATGGGCATCGGTGCTGCAGGTGGGCACGTTTAAACGTGTTGTCGCATGCAATCGGCCCAACCGGAAATTGCACCCTGGTGTGAAAGACTGTGGTCTTGAGTGAGCATGCAATGTGTCCGGAGATCAGTGACTTCGTGTGTTGCAAGCGACATGTGCTTCTGCTTCAATACGAGCTTGCTCTGTGGGTGCTTCATGGATCTAGACTTAAGCCGGAGCTGGTGATCGAGCCGAGGGCCCCTAGCTGTGACCATGGTTGTGTCTGAGCTGCTCGCCATGCGGGCCCCGCCTGTCCTTATGCTAATGGTCATCATGCTGATGTGGTACCCTCGTGCACCATGTGTTCAGGACCATAACCACTAAAACCGAATAATCAGCGCATGTGTGTGTGTGTGTTGGTGTGCTGCAAACTTAACTATTTGGAGGACCGGGACTTCGTCGAGCTCTTTTGCGGGAAGATGGAGGTATCTCATGCACTACGCCGTGCCACTCGATCAAACTTAAACCCTTAAACCGTGGCTGAGGTTAGTAACTTATATCCCATAGCCCGAATAACCAACCCATTCAGCCCAGGCAGGACTCCGCGGCACCTCCCTCGACATCGAGTTGGATCCGCAGACAATGGATTTCCTGAAGCCGGCGGGCTTTTGGCTGCTTGTGTTGCAGTTCTGAGTTCGATTCACAGAACGATTGTAATAGTAGGTGCTGGCTGTGCTGTATAACGGCAGTATTGTGATCCTTCAAAGTCGAAGTACTGAGAACTTAATCTATGTGTTATGCAAACATCATGTATCAGTATCTATAACTCTGTCTAGAGAATAGCATATGAGAGTATGATCGAAGCATTAAAAACATTTCCTTAAGTGACATTGTGGTATAATACTAACTTCTACATCGTCGTCGTATATCACATACAACAATAACGAACAAACTTATGCATAGCACTAGATTCGCTAGATGACATATGTCTGATATATACTCGATCTTTCAACTATAATACATTATAATCTAGCACTATGGAAATCAGAACCATACTAGACCAGCCTCATGATTTCCGTTAGATTCAATTACAAAGCACTATTATTTATTTATTTATTCTTATTCATACATATCTATCTATATATATATACATATACACACACTACATGAATTCCGATAATATACCGCCTATTCTTGGGGCTGGATTTTACACAACTCGTTTTCTGGATTATCTAAGTCTGGCCCTCCTGGAAATCCTACGCTGCCGGCCGGGTGGTTTGGTGTGGTTTGGACTGGACTGCAGAAGCTTCACCAGCATGCATATTGATTGCAAAGTCAGTAGGACTTTTGGGTCATTGCCATGTAATCGAGTGAAGCTACCGAATCTTGCATCTCAGGTGCCGCTATACGTCTGGGCGATCAGTGCTTCGGCCCTATGGAAATGAACAGTTTCCGTTTGTCAACGAGGGCAATGTGCTTTCAAGCAGACTTGTTTTGCTGATCTTTGTGTGCCAACTTCGAAAACTTCGATGGGTGGTGGAGCAGCCCTGTCGGTCTTTCCTGCCTGCTATGCCTCGATTTCAAGAGATGTTGTGTGACCTGAAGGCTATTGGGGTTTCTTAAACTTGGGTCTTGAGTCAATCAATTTAAACCCACAATTTATCTTTCACCCTGGGAGGTCTGGAGTGGAGGCTTCTGGATGGGTATGTTCGATGGGCCAAGTGCCAAACGACATACCCTTTGGAGCAACTGTGAAGCCTTGGTTCAACGCATCATGGACCGAGGCGACCAAATGACACCTGAAAAATGGCCTCCGTCAATCCGCTGTGTCGCTACTACACTGACAAAAATGGTGTGAAGCGAAGAATTGGCAAACGAGATGCACTGAAAGCTTCTCAGATCCTCGACCATCCATTATAATAGTATGTACGCACACACCCGCTCAGGCTCAGACCCTCGCAATATACAGCTTCTGAGCTCAGGAGCTACACGAGGAACTTTGGTGAATTCCTGGCTGGTGCCTTCATGCAAATCCGGTTGGTACCATTACTGCAACAAGATCATGATGTAGTGAAAGCACAGTCTGGAGTTGCACATATGATCGAATATCCCAGGAGCCCTTCGTTCCTGAGAACCACCGGCCGGGATTGGGAGCTGATGCTTTGCGGAAATCCGACTACGAGCTCTTCGTGCAGGAGTGCTTGTCGGAGCACAGCATTAATGGATTGGGGGATCTGTGGGCTGATGTTGCTTAATTGAGAATTATGAACGGTGTCTCGATGGCTTCCTGCTTTAGTTGTGATCACAGCTAATTTACAAATTAAACCCAACAAGCCTATATATGCTGATCGCCTTATCCGAGGCTCGAGCCGTCGACGTACTTATGTACCTCTCCAAATCCAAATCCCTGGACCTACCTGGAAACTGGGTATCCTGACTTACTTTTAAGTGCACGAGAACCCCAATTATTCACAAAAGCATCTCCAGCTGGGATCCCAGGCCAATGTGCTCCAGATGGTTGGCTTGGGTGGCTGAACCTGGGCATATAGTCTGCTGATCGTAATTAACGGGGGTGTGCCGAGCTGTCACCCGGCTCGCTGTGAAATTGTGTGAAAGGACCGTGAAAAATTCACGAACGACCGTGAAAAAAATGTGAAGTCTGTGAGTTCACGCATAGCACTTCTCAGCCTGCCTCGGATGCGAATTCATGCGAATTCTTGTTTTGTTCACGCTGCTTAAGCCTACCACAGCTGATGACATGTGAACTTTGAGGTGAAACTTCACGTTTGTTCACGCTTTGGGCCCTCCAGGTCTGTTTTGTAGTTTTAGCTTCGTGCGCTGGAGCTATGGGTGCTAAGAAGAAGCCGGCCGAAGACACGCCGGATGTGGCTAATGTGATGGCTATGTTGCAATCTAAGGGATTGCTGAAACGTGGTCCCGAGCCCTTAGCTGCTGCCGAGCCTTCTAAGAAGTCTAAGACAGCCAAAGCAAAGGCGACACCACCCCCAGCAGAGGAGCCTAAGACCCGGGCCCGGAGCAAGCGCAAACCCGAAGGCGAGGAGGAACCCAAGAAGCCGAAGCAGAAGAAGCCAAGCGAGAAGCCCGAGAACCCACCAGAGAAGAAGCCCGAGAACCAACCCCAGAAGAAGACCGAGAACCAATCCCAGAAGAAGACCGAGGACCAGCCCCAGAAGAAAGCCGAGGACCAGCCCCAGAAGAAAGCCAAGGATCAGTCCCAGAAAGCCAAGGATCAGTCCCAGAAAGCCAAGGATCAGTCCCGAAAGAAAGCCGAGGATCAGTCCCGAAAGAAAGCCGAGGATCAGTCCCAGAAGAAACCGGAGAAACCCGATCAGTCCCAAGCGAAACCCCACAAGGTGCAGGAGCCAGCTGCTGAGGACGACGCTGAGGGGTCTGATGAAGAGGGTCCCTTTGTGGAGTGGCCACCTGAGAAGCCCATAGGGCCGTTCTTGGAGGTGGGGCTTAACATGATGGTAGAGTGGCCAAACCTAGACAACGTGTGGAAGGCTTGCAGAGAGTCAGATAGAGAGTTCTACAAAACGCTGAAGTACGAGGAGCTTTTGCAAATGATGGAAGTTGCTCTTGGTCCCAGGCCTAACCACGTGGAAACGCCTATAGAGGTTCCTGGTGAGGAGAGACACCCGGGGCCCGTTTTGGAGGACAGCTCTTTGAAAAAAGAAGATGAGGAAACATCTGACGCAGAAGATGAAGACGAGGATCAAAACGAGGAGCAAGAGGAGGAGCAAGAAGAGGAGCAAGACGAGGAGCAAGACGAGGAGCAAGACGAGGAGCAAGACGAGGAGCAAGAGGAGGAGCAAGAGGAGGAGGAGCAAGAGGAACAGAAAGCTCCCCCTCGAGCAGCCAAGCCGAAGCCTGAAAGCCCAAAGGTGAACAACTGGAATGGCAGCCCCAGCCCTGCCACGAAGGACGTGCCGACCGTGAGCCCCGAAGAGGCCCCTCTAAACGAGAGTATGTGATTGTCGCTACCAAATCTTATTAATTTGCAACCGAATTAATTCTTAATGCTGAAGTGCTATGTCATGCTAGGTGAAGCCAACTGACCTGAACGCGAAGTTCAATCAAGTCCACCGGTCGAACTCCGAAAGGCCCTGTGCTTGCAGCATCAAATTCGGTCGTTCTTTACTATTACTATAATAACCCTAAACCCTAAACCCTAAACCCTAGTACATGTTAATCTATATAAGTCTCTAAGTGTACATGGCATTACCATACACGATCAACTGAGGTCCCTGACTACTTTGGTGCTGGGTGCCCACACGGCCAACGAGCAGGCATACCAGCATCGTCCACCCTCGGTGGTTGATGCTGGCGAGAAGGGCGATGTATATGATGGGTATCATGCATGCACTGCAGGATGTGTTCTAGTCGCATGCCATGTCTTTGCTTCAGCTGATCTCAAGACATGATGCAATGATCTATCTGAGGTTGGTGAGTGCATCTCAAGTTGGCAGTGACAGCGATCTACGAAGTCTGGTCACATCGATGCAGTCAGAGATCACTAGGCTCAAGGCCCTGCTGGATGCGAAGCCGCCGGCTGCCACAACCTCGGCCGAACCCGAGCAGGAGGAGGAGGAGCAGGAAGATGACGAGGATGATGATGAAGAAAATGATGATGAGCAGGAGTCACAGGAGGAGGAGGAACATGAAACCCCGCCCCCAAAGGGCACAAAGCCTGCTGAGGTTTCGGTAGCCAAGGGCTCGAAGCCTGCTAACAAGGGGCCCAACTCAACTAGCCACCGTGCTGAATGGATGAAGTTTGGTCGGAGAATGGAGAGCCAGGGCTCGGAGTTCCCCGAAATGAGCAAGATGTGGAATGGAACGAAAGAGGAAACCTGGCTACTATTTGGGGTCCCTATAGTTGGCATGCTTAGTAACATCACCGAATATATGTATGTGCATCCTAACCAAGGAACAGCACGCAGTGTTTGCAAAGTGGCTGGAGAAGGAGATGAACATGGGCAACACCGAGGCCCAGCTGATCATTAGCAAAACGAAATCGGCCGAGGTGAAGAGCGGCTACGAGGAGCTCACCGTGAAGGAAATGGTGCAAAAGGGCTTCAGTGCGCACCCTGTATGCATTAGTCAGCATAACCACCCGCAGCGAGAAACACACGACTGTGTTACTCCTCATCTAAGGACAAAGATTGAGAGCATAGTCAGAAAGGGTGGAACCCCTGATCCCGATGCCCCTCACTGCCTCGAATCGATCGTCTACGTTTGCCGGAAGAAGAGGAACGTGGACGAGTCCGAGAAGGTTTCCCAAACCGGACAAGTGAAAGCCAACATCAAGGCCAGTGCCAAGGCCGTGGCCCCTTTGATGAATCTCACGGAAGCCCCGGCTTCTGGAGTGACCTCGGGCCACACCGAAGCTGCTTTGCAGTTTGCTGCGAATGTTTTCGCTTCAGGCACCGAGTCAGCATTAAGTGGCCTAGAGGTTTTAACTGAATGCCGGATTTTGTGTTGCTCGAGTGCACTAAGGCGAAGCCAACACCGCCCCGAAGAAGGCCCCGAAAGCGAAGGCCAAAGCCAAGGGAAAAGCCGTGCTCCAAGCGCCCAAGACAATCAAAGACCGTTTGGAGGATTGCCGTGGCTCGTCTTAATCTCAAAGCCCCCGAACTAAAAAAAACCAATGAACCTTATCCGAACTAAGGCAAAGAGCTGAAGAAGGAGTACGATGCCGCCAACATTTGCTACGACCTACCGAAGGAACACCGTTTGCGGGGGGAGATGGAGAAGCATAAGGGCGACCTGGAAAACCAAATGGATGAGCTACCTGCCTAAATACCCAACCCCGAATCCCTAATACTTAAGCATCGGTTTCATATCTAGTTAGTGGATCCTATCTGAGGTTGAAAGAAGTGGATGATGAAGACGTCGAAGATTTCCTTGAGAAGTGCCGAACAATGGCTGCTAGATTGCAATCGAAATTAGAGTTTGTGCTACCACCCAAACCAAACCCGAAACACTCAACTCAGGTTGAAACGGCCCGAATGACGCGAGCGCAAGTTCGTGCTGTGGCAGCTGAGCTCCAGCGCAAAGCCACCGAAGCAGCAGCAGCTGCAGCTGGGAAGTGAAGTCCTGGAGGACTGTGGGGGCTAGGGCACAGCACCTCTACATCGAAGATTACATATGCTATACTAGATGGCTGGTTGTATACCCAAAAAACTACACTAACCCCTAGGCCCTTAAACGACTTCGTTGTGGAGGATAGTCTGTGCCCTAGATGACGAAATCGTCTGCTTTTGAAGCTATAGGGGTGATGGTGCTTAGATGTGCCTGAAGCACTCCGCTGCGATTGCGATGTGTTGCTACGCTCTGACCATGCTGGCTAGCCCAGTGTGCTGTGATGCCGCAGACCAAAAGACTGGAAGATTGTGCATTGCATCGGCACTTTGTACCGCTAGCTGCATTATTAGCTAGAACCCATGGTGTACCCACGCAGGTTCGTCGACTTCTATCCTACGAGATGAACTGGATCGGGTGTCACTCGGCTCTCATAGGATTAGATCGGCAATGACTTTGTTGTCGTGCTCTGATGAATCTACAGCCGAGTACCCCGCAACTTAAGGCTGGCCAAAACTATTGGCCGTGGCTATGCATCTGTCAAGCATGCTTCGGAGATTGGTGGGGCCCTGGACAGCAATCTGTTGACGTCGATACATGGCTTAACCCTAAACCCTAAAAGCCCTAAACCCTAAATCCTAAACCCTAAACCCTAACCTTACTCTCAAGTTACGTTCCCACCCGGGCACCTCCACATATGTGATGATACATCGTTGTGTCGAGCCTGAGGAGCAGGGAGCAGGGGCTTCATGAGCGAGCAGCCAAGCAAGGGCTGGCTTTGAGTTGCGAGGTTTCGTATGTTTCTCTGCCGATGCTGGATGATGATCGTAAAGTTGTCTGGCGAAACTGGCCGATGATTCTGCCCCACAAATTCGAGCTTAGGCTGCAGCTAGCTAGCTAAGGTGTCTTACTTCTGATGCAAAGTACACTATAACCAAGGTTGGTGCAATGGCTAGAGCTGGTCATCTTGATATGTTGGTCGCTGACTGGGATATGGTGCCCGGCTACTGGGAAAATTTTATTCGCGAGAACCCCGGCCACCCCGCGAGTGATAAGATGAACACCTCCGTTCCATGCACCCTCTACTGCTTCTAGTTTTATGAAAGCAGGCTTGTTCGTGTTTGGGGCTTAATTATATTCGGGTGTAGGGATGTAGGTTTGGTTTTCTAGTTTACAATAGAGTTAATTAACTACTGTCTATAGTTGGGTCTTTTGGGATTTTGGTGCACAGGCGATGAAGCCACTGCTGTGAACGAGCAATGGATGTTTCTTATGTTTACAAGTGATCTGTGCCCTTCACCGGGAAACTCTGCTTCCTCGCGATTCCTATGTGCTATCATACCTGCACAAAGGTATGTTTTGACTGCTGACAAGACAAACCTAACTTTGCAAGCAGCCTGCTGGGAGATTGTGCAAAGCTTCAACAAGCTTTCCAACGAGGGTTTGGTTTTGTACGATTTGCCTTCAATGGGAGGAGGAGCTGTGCTCTGATTGCCATTATAAAGCAATTTGTATTTTGGCCACTTAGGTTATATACTACTGGGCTTGAGGTAATTATCTATTCCATTCACAATGTCTCCCAGGTGGCCCGGCTACATGCCTTCGTGACTGGCTTTCGCGGGGACTGGAAAGCACTTAGACAAGCTTTCAACTTCAATCGGTATGCCGACCGCGACAAGGCAGGACCGAGTGGGGTTAAAGTAAAACACAGGACCAGTTAAACTCATGTAGCTTCGATCATAAAATTTCGGACAGGAGAGCCCAGTGTAGCTTTAAGTTGGCCCTCAAACCTCATTTGTGTGCTGCATCCCCCCTCAAGATATGTTGGATGTGCAACGCGACCAAGGGCGCCGAGGATGAGACATATGTGTTTACAAACATACTTACAGCACCCTACATGCAAACCATTTTTGCAGAAGAGCCCTGGGCCCTTCGACCAGCTTATCACAGCTTGTCGGGTTTTGATCTACGCCACATTTTTCCTGACATTCTGCATGCCTATCACCTGGGCTGTGGGAGAGATCTACTGGGGTCAGCTTTGGTTGAGATGGTTACAGCCGCTTTTTTTGGTGTGGGAAGCATCGAGCATAGGCTGGCTGAAGCTACACGTCGTCTTAAGCAATATGCCAAACAGCAGAAGCTGAACCTTCGCTTGAAAAAACTGACGAAGAGCAAATTGGGCTGGTCAAAGACGAAGTACCCAGAACTGAACCGTGGTTGCAATATTAACTGTGTTTGATATATCTAGGCTATATAATGATCATGTGATGTTTAAAACATATAGATACGCAGATCCACACACCCTGGCCCAGGAAAAGTTCTGGCTTTGACACTTACGTCGTGCAGCAATGGTTGCTGCATGAAATCAGTGCCGTTGCTGATCCGGGTTTGGATGCCAAGTTGGTTTTGGCACTTTGGGCTAGCAATCACGCTATTTCACTGTGGTCGAATAATGGTACCCGTTGGCTCAATGATGATGAAAAGCGGAATGTCCGCGAAGCTGGGCTGCTGTACTTGAGATGCTATGTGAGTTTGGCCGAGAATGCCCTTCAAGGGCAGAGACGATTATACCGCATCCGCCCAAAACTCCACTTGCTGCACCACCTTTTTGTGAGAGATGGTTATGCAAACCCTCACTGCTACAGTACGTGGATGGACGAAGATGCGTTAAAGCATTTGATGAAAACGTTGCGCTGCACAGACCGAAGGACTGCAGAAGAGCGACTGCTGCAAAGGTGGCTTTTAGGGCTACCGTCGAGCTTCGAATCGATCCGTGCTTGAGAAAATATGAGGCCCCGGCCAATTGGCCACGGGTCGTCGTCGTCGATGTCGCATAGGCACGGTGATTCAGGAATCGGGGTTTTTTTTACTGGGGCTTATAGTCCCAAATCTTTCCCCGGTACCCTGTCTTAGTTCACCAAACACATCCCAACAACAACCAAAGGAAACCACAAACTCCAAGCCCCAACTCCCGACCATAAACCCGAACGAAACCGCACCCGCCGAGCCCAAACCCTAAGCTTCAGCTTTCAGGGAGTCAAGGGTCTTCTCTCTCTCTCTCTCTCTCGTGTGTGTGTGTGTACGTGTACACTTACATGATTAGATGCTAGCGCAAACACTGTATGTATGTATGTATGTATGTATGTACGTATGTATGCATGCATGCATGCATGTATGTATGTATGTATGTATGTATGTACGTATGGCATGTATGTATGTATGTATGTATGTACGTATGGATGTATGTAAGTATGTAAGTATGTAAGTAAGTATGTATGTATGTAAGTATGTAAGTGTTTAAGTAT